AAAGAAATACATTCCTTAGAAAGACATAACAACATCTCTGGATGCTTCAATCATTCACTTATTTATTCAGTGAGTTATTTACTTTAAAATACTTATTTCAATTTGCCAAATACAGGACTTCTAAATATCGACATGTTTTAATTACATCATGACATTATTCAGTCCTCCCAAAAGGTAATGCCATAATAGGTAAATAGGTATCAAAAACCTTAACCACACAAAATTCTTAACAGTAAATTATATTAGAAATGTAATTCTGGGCTTGGGAAGCATTTGCCTTGTTTTATTATTTCATCCTCAGGTTACACATTCAAGCTTTGCCACTCTGGCCTTCTGGGGACAGGTTCTATTGCTGTGCTTAAGGTGGCAGAAAAGAATGTGAGAGAAAACCCTAACTTAGTGTTTTGTTTTGTTTTTTTTTTTTTCTCTCTCTCTTTCTGTCCTATGTTCCTCTAATAGGTCATCCTTTCATGTTTCCTACAAAAGACACAAATTACTTGTTTGGGAGTGAGGCCTGTGAGTCACTGTAAATCTGTGAGAAACCTGGTTACCCCTACTACCAAGAGCATGGGTGCACTGAGCTTGAGTGAGAAAGACACTGCCTCTTACTGCAATAAATACGGCAAAAATCAGCTGCAAAAATGAGAGCTGATAAAAATGATAAAGGTAGGGCTGAGGTTGTGGCTCAGTGGCAGAGGCACTGGGTTCAATCCTATTGTGTGAGGCACTGGGTTCAATCCTCAGCACCACATACAATAAATAAATAAAAAATAAAGGTTTAAAAAAACTGACAGGGATAATAATTTACTGAGCTCCTAGTTTACTTCATTATATCATACATTTAAAATGTATGGGTCCATCTAATCCTTCTAACAATTGTTATTACAGGAATTGTTATTACCCTTTTATAGATGAAAAAACTAAGGTTCAGGGAGATGAAAGCAAACTTGTACCAAATCAGTGGGTCTGCACGGCAGGATGGAGACATGGCTCTGCCTGTCTCTTGACCTAACCTCCATGCTCYTTTCTTCATTGTCTATCTCCTTGACACCTGAACTTTCTGTTTTAGCTCAAGACCAATTTTTATATCATCCCCCTCTAAAGTCTCATGAGCCATTTATATTCTAGAAGTGGATTATGAAGACATTTTGGATGCAGCCAAGTAGAGCATTCTCTTATGTTCTGACTTCTCTTGGAAGTGCCAGGATTGTTCTGGTTTACTTGTTTTCCCACAGATTAACGAAAACGGTTGCACTTATAATGAAATCTGTCTTACGGAAACGGAGCGGGATCCGGAAACAGCTGTGATCTGCTCCCCAGCCTCTGAGCCTATCGGGGGCAACCTGTTCCAGGAGGTTTGAACCGGTGGGGAAGACACGTGGTCTAGGCCAGTTTGCCTGTGAACACARCAACATGCAACTGAGTACCCAAGTGCGGAGGGGTCAGCCCCTAGCAGGCAATTCCAATCTGAGCTGCCAATCACGATCTGCCTTCCAAAAGCAATGTTCAAGGAAAACAAGCCATGCTTCAGAGAGATGGGAGATGAGACAGGGACCAGCAGCTCCAGTCACACTGCCCCTATTTAGCAGTGGCTGTCCATCTGGATTGCCCAAGTGCTCAGCCACACTGGGAACTGTACAGATCGAAGAAGAAACTGAAGATCTAGCTCCTCCCTATGACCAGCTATTGAAAACACAAGTAATTAGAGATCAATGAAATAGTATATATATATATATATATATATATTATGACTTATATATATTTAAGAAAAGTCATAATCCATAAGAGGCACAATTAATTATCAATGCACAGGGCTTACATGAAGAAGAATACAGAATTTTATGTGAAGTCATAAAAAGGTGATATGAAATTAGAGGCAAAAAGACATTCTCTGGTAGGAAAACTAAATATCACGAAGATTTCAGTTTTCCAACATTCTTTATAGATTTAACACTATGATGCCCAATGTGTATGCTCTGTTTAAATTTGACACTTCGATTGTAAAGATTATTTGTTTTAAATTTGTACCAAATCAGTGGGTCAAATCACATTGCCCCTATTTAGCAGGGGCTGTCAATCAGCCACTGACTAAATTCTAATAAAAGAAGAGTAATGACAGGAGACTGTCCCTATCAGATAATAACATTCAAAAATTAAATTGGTTTTTGCACAGGAATAGATAAGACATTCTAGAAACAGATTCAAAATTATTTATTCATTAATAACAAAGTCATGAAAGTTATAGTAGGAGACTTTTTAACCTATAAAGTTTTTAAAAAGTATATGCAGGACCTCAACTTTAGAGACCGAGGGGAAGGAGACCTATATTGCCAGTGGGACTATAAATTTGTACAACTGTTGCAGGAAATATTTTGGCAAAATATTTCAAGAACCTAAAAAATATCCATAACCTTTGACCTGTTCATTTTCCTTCTAGGATTGTATCATTAGGAAAGAATTTAAGGATATCTTTTTGGAGACTGATATCAAATTATTTCCACTGCACATCATCAAAATGAAAATATAGAAAAGAATGAAATTTCATAGATAGGGAAATACTTAATAAATTATGATATACCCACATGATGAGTAGTCATTAAAATCATGCTTTTAAAAATATTTGAGAACTGAAATATAAATGATATAATGTTAAGTGAAAAAAGTATACAAAAAAGCACTATATTACACAACAGTAAGATAGTGTTAGGAAAAAGACCATGGGAAGGAAAGAAAAAATATAATCCTAGACAAAGCTGATAGAAATTTTACCAACCGTTGTCATGTCTATATTTCTGTGTGAGAAACATACAAGTGATCTTTGGTTTCTATTCACACTTTTTATATTTTCAACATGTCCCAGGGTGTTTGGTACTTTGATAATTAGAGAAAAATTTATTTCATAAAATTGAAGTCAAGGGCAGGGGTTGTAACTCAGTGGTAGAGTGCCCAAGTGGCACAAATTCGCCCTCAGTTTGAATCTCAGGACCACCACACATACACACATACACACACACACACACACACACACACACAAAAATGCAGAGGACAGATCATAAACATATCAAACCATGCATGGCTGGTGTGTTTGTGAGGCAAAGGAAGATAAGGTTGCCCAGAATTAAAGAGGAGAAGGGAACTAATAGGAAATAGTTATGCATAGTCAAAGAGGGTGAGAGGGATCCCCTCAAAGAAGGCAAAAATTTTTACTCTTCTGCATAAAGCAAGCATTGCTATACATACAGATAGACAGTCTATCTGTGAAATTTGAATTCCCAGGATTGGAGCACAATTAGGGAAAATAGTCTAAAAGAGGTCCCTAGCATTGTTAATAGTGGGAGAAAAAAACTTTAAAAATTCTCGTCTATGGAAAGAGGGGCCAAAACATGGAAGGAACGTACAATTGGAGGTATCTAGATTTGTTTCAGTAGGAAATAGGAATGGTTTCTGATGAAAGTTTGATAGTGGAAGACTGGAAGAGAGGAGAGAGCGGTCCGTGCTATTGACACGGGCATAAGCTGAATCAGGTGTGGGGGGCAGCCACGCTGAGACTGAAGGTGGGAGAGATGACTTGAAAGCACGAACAGAACAGATCCAAATACCACCAGGAATATCTGTCCTAGTGCCTGATGTATATCAGTTGTAAAAGAAAGGTGGTCTAACAAAAAGTTGCAAATGATGCTCTAAATGCATCTTTTGAGAGTCCAGTGATTAATAGTTGGAAGCTGCTCAACCCACCAGCTCCTGAAGGGGATTTCAGTTCAACTCCTCTAAAGCTCAGTCCCTTACAGTAGAAAGTCTATGGCCTAGGGCCCAGGGGTTGGACTCCAAAGCCAAGAGCACTGTGGCTGTACCCGGCTCTGCCTTCCTGCTGTGATGATGATCCTAGGCAAGTATTCAACTTCTTTCAGCCTGTTTCTTCATCTTAGATTTGAGATAATATGAATACCACTGGTTTGCAGTGAGGAATAACTAAGATAATAATGGAAATACATGAAATTCCATTAATAAAATAAATAAATGTATGTACACAGTTACRTACAACTATTGGAACAAAGTTAGTGTTGAATACTCAAATGAACTTGTAAGAAAAGAAAAGCATCTAAATAAAATCTGATGGAAGATACTTTGTTCAGAATAATCCATCAATCCTAATTGACAATGTCTCTGCCCTATGACCTTTTGTTTACCATGATAAAGAAACAAGACTTACAGTTTTGTTCCCCTAAGAATTTCATCACTGTACACATTGGGGGTTTTTATTCTCTGTGAATCTGAAGTAAGAGAAGGCAGCCTCCGGTGCGCTGGTATTTTCCTGGCAGAAGTCTGTAATCTGTGAGTATCTGAGATTCTAGCCAGGCGGAGCCGTGTAGAGGACGGAGCACTGGCGCCCACACTAGATGATTTGTCCTCTTGTTCATACCTAGAGGAGGAAAATCCAGTTAGTTGCTCAGATGTGAGTGCTACAAGAAGACTGAACACAACTCTTGGTACCTTCCTCTGTGCCACGCACAATAGTGCCTGGTACCCAGAACATACTCCTGGAGGTACTTGTTAAATGAATGTACGGACTCTTGTTTCCATTTCTATACTAATAAATTCATAGGTGAACAAAAATGTCACTTTTTCATTGTCTGTAATCAAATGGTAGCAAAGCCCACAAGCTTAGGAATTCTTAACTGCATTGAGCTTTTCTCATCTCTTCCTAATGCAACAGGAATTATGTTGTGGTTGATATCAGAAGAACCTGCTTTTACTCTGGCTGTACTTCCTCTGGGGTATGCTCAGGCACATCTGGAGCATGGAATTAAATGGGATTTTCACTGTCCCATGTTCCTGCAGTGTATATACATACACACTTCCTGTTCCAGCATTTCCAGCATAGGGAAGTGGTTGGGTTCTTCCTCATACGTACTGTGTTCTATCCACAAAATACATAGGTCTCTGCTGGAGTGGTTTTGCTTGAATTGTCATCACACCATTCAAATCGCTATAGAAATTATTGGAGAAGCGATGAATCTGAGAAAAGTTAAAAAAAAAGAGTAAAACAATATTCCAATAATAGATGCCCGTCAAATCTTCAGAAAACAAATGGTACAAACTGGCTAAATTTGAAAAAAAAAATTAAGCAAGGGACCATATTTTATACTGCATACTAAACAAAGTGGGAAATACTGTATTGAACATATCAGAGCAGTTTAAAGAGACCCAAAACTACAAGAACCAGGCAGAAACTCCAAATGTCTCTCTCCAACAGTAAAAAGCAAAGAAGCTTATTGTAAAGCCCTTACTCCAGAAAGCAAAATAAGGCTGTTAGGCTTAGATACTGTTTAACTCACTGCTCCCCAAACCACAAGCCCTGTTCAGGGATGAGTTTTGCCAGTCTTACACAGGCATTCTGCTTATTTGCAGAATGTTAAGTGTGCCTCTTTTTCTATTTTTTCAGTTTAACAAATCTTACTATCATTTAGGACTTAGTGTATGTCTTATTCTAATTTGTGAAAGGTATATTTTTCCTCTGAACCCTACAGCACTTATGAGCTAAAGCATATCTATTATAAAATAGAATACATTATAGGTAATTAGCATCTGATTATAATAAAAGCTAAGAGTTATGGAGTGCCTATTCCATGCTACACACTATAATAAGTGTCATATCTCCTTTACTTCTCACAGCTTCCTACTGCATAGGTAACATATTAAAGTTGAGGTTTTGAGAGAAAATGACTGATTTGAGATCATAATGCTAATGAATGGTATCATCAAGTTTCAAAGTTGGATTCTAATAAGCAAAGCTCGAACTCTCACTCTCATTACTATCAATAATATTGACTGTGCACGCGCCCGCGTGTGTGTGCGTGTACGTGCATTCGGTATGGCTTGACTCCTTCCAACTGGTCTGTAAATGGCACATAGCTCAAGACCAGGAATCTTGTCTGATTCCTTTTCTCTGGTCTCCCACATAAGAAGGTCTGTGTGGAACATGAAGTCCAAACTCCCTAGCATATCCAAGATCTCCCATGAACAGGCCCATCCTTTCCAGCCTCACCTGCTACTAGATCTATGAATGAGGATGTAATTCAAGAACAGTGTATCAGGTGGTTATATATGGTTATAAATCTTAATTCAAACTTCTCACATCTTTCTAGAATTTGATCCTCGCAACCGTATCTTAGTCAACGCATTATTCTCCTTGTTACACAGATAAGTAGTTTAAAGCTCAGGAAGTTAACATGCCCAAAATAATACTCAGCCCAGACCTCCTGATTCCMAAGCCCCATTTTTTCCCCCACCATGCCCTGCTGTTCCCATCTGCTGTCCTCTAAATACGCAGTCCAATCACTGGCCTAAACTATCTATCTTTCATGCATCCATGCCTTTGCCTGGCCTGAAGTGGCCCACCCCAAATTCTTAGCCACAAAAGTTCTACTCATTTGTTCATGTTTCTGTTCCGATTTCACCCCTGGTGTCCAACATAAACCCCATCCTTTAATCAGGATGAATCAATCTCTCCTGGATTCTCCTACCATGCCTATTTTTGCTCATTCCTCACAAAACGTAATGCATCTGACCTTATGTTATAATTTTTGTTTCACTAGGTCAGGGACCCAGTTTTATTCATCTCCATATCTCCTCAAAACAACTAACATGGTGCAATTAATACAAGCACTAACTCTTTAAGGAACCCAAGTAATTCTCATTAATGAACACTCATTAATTCTTTTGTTATTTTGGTGAAAGGCAAGGAGGCCATTTATAACTTTCAAAACGTCTACAAACTTAGGGGACAGCATTTTTTCCCCCCTCTCACAAAATTTCGAAAATAATTTCACATCTCAAACTAGTATCTCATAAAGCACATGTGGTGCTATTAAATAAACACCATGAAATAACCACATTATATTTTAATCTTGTTGACAAACACTATTAAATATTTTGATAATTGAATTCAATAGAATGGTGTTCTTGAAAAACTAAGGTAAAAACTGAAGAAACAAAAGGGAAACAGGATGTAAATGCATCTACCTGGGGTAGATTAAGATGAGAAGCCATGGGCAAGCTKCGAGCTTCAGAACTCCTGGATGGGGGGACGCTGGCCACATCCGTGCTCAGCCGGGAGAGGAGTACCTGTGGGGGTYGATTTTCAGCGACTTTCAACTTTTCTTTCTGTTTTTTCCCTTCTGTGTCAACAGAAAAATCAATATTATGAGAAACATCAGATTACCTAAGACAAATAAATTCACTCTGCAAAGAAAACATCTGTTCTTGAGTCACCAAAAATCTAAGTTATAGCCCATCAATTAAAGAGCAATACACTAGAGAGCAGAGACCCCATGAACCAACTGGTTACCATACCATCATTCCAGTGGTTAGTAGCAAAACAGAGATTATATAATGGAGCAAAAATAGATTCTCAAGAGTTTTATAAAAGCCTGACTAATCCTTTTGGCTGGAAAAAGAACAGCATTAGAATGATCATGTTTATTGCCCTATTGTATCAAATACCTAAAACTAGTCATTAAAGTCCACCATCAATATTACTATGATTTGTTTCTGCTCCATTTTAGACGCTTTAGAGAACATTTTATGTGTTTAAGTGAAGATAAACGAAGTGATTATTAGGTTAGCTATGTTCATATTTTACTCTATAAATAATGTCATCAATAATTAAAAACAAATTTCCTCCTTATTAGAGAGTAGTTAGGTGAAGTTTTGTTTTGGTCTAACCACAACAAGATAATGTGACTTCCAGTTTCTTTCTGTGCATTTCTGAGTTTTGCTTTTGTTTTTTTCAGAGTGCAAAGGTATTATTTTTGTAACTCAAAAAAACAACAATGTCCTTTTGGAAATGATTAAAGATCACCTGAGAGTAAAGGTAGAAAACCACTTGTCTTCCCACCCCAGTCCTGTTCTAGGTGAGGCCAAGGGGGGAGTGGCGGGGAGCACAAAACCCATTTTTTTTTTTTATCTTTTCAGGTGGCCAAATTCTGCAAATAAGTACCTTTAAGTGTAGTTTCCCAGTTTTTCCTAATCAGTCCTTCTAATATTTCTACCACATTTTTCCAGACATGATCAAACACTTCTGCTGCCACAGCATCTTTGATACAGTCATGAGGGGAAATAGGAGGAAGTCCATGTTTATGCCACTTCCTGCCACGGTGAGCTGGTTTCCGTTCAAGACGTTCATCGCCATCCTCTTTTTTGTCAAAAGCAAAATATTCTTCCACCTTTCCATCCATATCGTAAACCTCTTCTTCCAGGGATGAACATGCTGTGAGGTGGGCAGTCCCTGTGCCTACAGGGCCTGGCAGGGCAGAGGCTGAGAGTGTGGCTGGGATTATTTGAGAACCAGAGATGCACAACCTATGGGAAAAGAACATCCTATATGGGATTCTGTAGAACAACAAGAACGTAACACGTGCACCAACGTGGCAGATCTTTAAAGCGGCCATAAAGCACAGAAYCTCAAATTTAAAAATCATTAACTATTACATTTGCAAAAACTGATCCCTAAAAGCATTTTAACACCAGCATCATTAAAAAAAAAAAACTTAAAGGCTTCTTAAAAGGCTAAATTATTTTATATGTCTATATCCTCTTTGCTAGTACTGAAAGGATGCCACCACAGCTCAATGCCAAATAGGTGTAAATGGAATAAAGATATTTATTGAAATCTGTAAACCAGGAGTGGTGGTGCGTACCTGTAATCCTAGCTATTGAGGAGGCTGAGGCTGGGGGATAGCAAGCTTGGTGCTAGCTGCAGCAAATTACAGATACCTTGTATCAAAATAAAAATGAAAAGGGTGGGGGTTTAACTCACTGTTAGAGCAATATCCTAGAATACATGAGACCCTGGGTTCAATCCCCAGCAAAAAACAATAATTAAAAAAAAACAAATAAAACAAAACAAACAAACAAAACTCAAACCCAAACACTACAAAAACCAACCAAACAAAACTTTTTGGTAAGCCAAAAAATAGGATAAAGCTTTACTTCTGCTATTTTCTTGAGGCTATCTCTTCTATCACAATGAAGCAGTTTTTGATTTTGCATTTAGCCTGGCTTTCACAGTGYCTTTGGAATAAAAGTTGAAGTTAACTTCTATGTGCATGTGTTTGTATTTCATAAATATTTTACATGTATGCATATATTCAAGCATAATTAATTTAGGATCAGAAGCATCTTGTGAAAATATTCTCTGCACTTGTCCTGCATTGAAATCTAAATTTGAATATTTGGTGGAACCAAARCCCATGGATGAGTTAAACATATAAAAGGATAACTAAAACACAGTAACAGATAGTTTTTGGAAGTAACATATATCAACATACTGTTGGATGTTGCTGCTGCATTCTGGGGCATCAGGTAAGGGTTTATGGCCAGCAGAACTAGGCACATTGCCCTGCAAGTGTTGGAACCCTTCATCAGTTGGCAGGATAAGCTGTCTTCCTAATACTCTGTAATGGAAAGACAGTAAAGACTAACTAGTAATGGAGTAGACAAGGAAAAAATGCTATGTGATTGCAAAGGTAGGATGCAATAATGTTTTTGAAGGCATGGATATGACATGATGTAGTGTGTATTGGCACATGAGAAGCATCATGGTGTCAGAGAAAAAGCCTGAGCTTTGGGAAGCCGAGACAGTCTATTCTGGCCAGAGACTTAGATTCYGAGGCACAGTGCGCTGGCTCTCTAGGCCACCGATGTCATTTGYCTGTTTATTTACTTTGCAGGACTGATGAGGGGCTTGGAGATAAAGCATATCAGACTTGGTGCCTAGGGCAAGGAAGAGTACAATGAAACCCCCTCTATGTGTTAACTAACATTTACCTAATGAATAAAAACATATAAATATCTGCACTAAGCTTATACACCTAGCAGTCTTTTCTTTTTCCATTTTCCCTCCTTCGTTTTTATCTTAACAATGTAAAAGAACAGTAAGATAATCAAGTTGGAGTTCCTGAATTTTTTTGGAAGGTAAGCCACTCCCAGAAAAGCACACATGTATAATTAACATCTACGGACACATTATATACTTTAAGGTAGGGATTCAGGAAGGATTGAAAAGAAAGAAAAAATACATTGCTTAGGGTTTTTTCTAAAGTTTCCTAGTCAAGCTAACTAGAAAATTCATGAGCACTTATTTGAATGTTCTAATTCATTCTTCCCAGATATAATGTGGAGGAACTTGGGATAACTGAAATGGACTTTCCCCTAAGTAGGTTGGCTGAATGACAGGAAGCAAAGCTTCCCATCAGACCCAATCTATATTCTCTACCTTTGGTATTTAAAAAATAGTAAATGACCCTCTTTACACCAGGAACAATGATGACATAGAAAAGTTCACCTATCCAGTCATTCTGTAAATACTCTGCCCACAGGAGCCCCTCAGGTTGTTCTCAGTGCTGACAATCACCTGCTGCTCATAAAGAGTAAATGTGAAGGTCAAAGATCACATCTAATATTCTTGTACTTGTTGCATATATAGTACCTTTCTCTGAATGAGCTAGATTTACTTCTTACAAATTAAGAAGCACCTGAATACTGTCAGGTGTCTGTATCTCCTCAGGCACTAAGACAAAAGATGCACCTATCAGTAAAAGACTGTGCTCTGGATAGGTATTTTGATTGAGCAAGTGCTTTCAAGGTGACCAGCACCCCAGCAGAGTAGGTTCCTGCTGGGGGGGGGGTGAGCCACTGGGAAGATAAACAATCTGAAATAATTAGTA